GTGATTAAAAATGGTCAGAGTGGACAAAATCACCTCGAGAGCATATATGTATATAGAATATATGTGTGGATACGTAAGGGAAAGTATAAAAAATGGGATGTGAGGGTCTGTGAGATCTAATTGGCAGAGGAAGAGGAGTCACTAAGGAGATGGAGGACATGGCCTGAAGGACACCAGGAGACAGAGTGTGAAGGGATATTTTTCACCATTTGGATTGCTGCACTCCTTGATAGCCCCTAATTTGCTTATACTTTGACATATAACTAGAAACCTTTCTTTAGAGGTTATTACATTTTCCCACACAGCAAATGCTGACAAGCTGGCTCACTTTACTAATGGCATCAGGATGGATATATACACTTTTACTCTTTTCAGAAATACATGGTGACAACTAAAACTGTCTTTTAATAAATGATGAGAAGATTATTCATAAAAACCATTTTAAAATACGTTATTATTATTCCATGTAGTTGAATATATTTTTTAAACATTTTAATGAAGTTTAATTTTTTAAAAAATTATAGAAATAGTGGTAACTTACTAAATCATAAAGGCACTGTAGGTATTTTAGAATGCTAAGCATTCTAAAACTAAATTTTTATAAAGCAGATAATGTTTATTATCTCAATAGAGGGAAATGGAGAGTAAGAGGAACAGAAAACATAAAAACAAGAAGAAAAAACAGGAAGCCTCCTGGCTTCATGCAGATATGAAATTGTCACTGGTAAAGCTTTATTTTGTGTTTTTCTCCAAGGAGAGGAAGAAAATTTTAGGTGTTGAAAAACAGATTTTAATCTAAACAGATTTTAATTTATATCTACATCTATCTATCTATCTATCTATCTATATCTATATCTATCTATATCTATATATATAAAAGGCTAAGTGACTGACGGTCCATCCATTCAACCATCCAGCTGACTGATTGACTGGCTGGTACATATGACGTGCACTGGCAATTTAAAAATAAATGTTGACTCGTGCATGCACAATACATATAAAGCTCTCGCTGGCTCGCATGCGTGTGTTTCAATTTGTCATTGTTGATCATGAATTTGATTGACACTTCTATTATAGAGAAAGGATGAATAGTGATATTAAAATATTTCTTCTAATTTCAATGTTCATGAATCTGTGCACTGGGCCACTAGTGCATGCATGAAAGAGAATGACAGCACATTTGGATAGTAACTTGGGTCCTTGATAATTTCAGTAAGCCATGCAATTAAAAAGCCAGCGCAACTTAATTCCAGTTATGGAAACGAAGGAGGGATAAGCCCTACATTGAACAAAATTATCTTTCTTTTAAACGAAGCAGACAGGCAGTCTGCTCATGAGGGCTTATTTGCTTTTGCTGTTAAGTACTTTTCAAATAAACTATCTTGTTCATGTCAAAAGCTTAAGTGACCATTGCAATTCCAAAAGATCCGTGATGAAGTTGTGTCTATTTAAGAGATAGGTGTACAAATTTATAATGAGTAGACATAAAGGAAGCAGGTGTTTGGCCTGGAAGAGGTGCAGTTTTAGATTAAAGGAGAAATAATAGTGTCTTGTAAAGATGTGTAATTTCTGATCCCCAGAACTTGGCCAATGGCCAGTCATTACCCATGGGTCCAGGCAGAGAAAAACTAAACAAACCAGTTCTCAGCAACAGAAAGACAAGAGGAAGAAGTCTATTAGAGTTAAAATGGCCACCTGAAACAGTTTGTCCTAAGGTCACTGGTCTGAGGAGAACTTCTGAAATATTCAGCTCTTGGAGATCAGCTCAGAAACAGGCTTTTCAGGCCTATGTCTATCTTCTTCCTACAGATTTTGCCTCTTACAGACAACACTAAATATTAAATAAGCTAACAAGCAATGAAAACAGGGAAGGGAAGACTAAAAACAGTTTTACCAAAGAATACTGGTTGGACAAAAAATTCTGGGAGATCTTATTCCTAGGGATACATAATAAACTCAACATCGAAGTGCTTCAACAAAATACAGAAACTCAATTCAGCATGAATTTAACCTCCCAGCCCTGAGCAGTTGGCACCTCATACAGAGATTCATGCTACTCATGAGTTGAGAGTCCTGGTCCCAGCACTGAGTGCTTTAGAATCAGTGGTTCTCAACCTTCCTCATGCCGCTACCCTTTAATACAGTTCATGTTGTGGTGACCCCCAATTTCATTGTTACAAATTGAACATAATTAAAGCATAGTGATTAATCACAAAAACAATATGTAATTATATATGTTTTCCAATGGTCTTAGGCGACCCCTGTGAAAGGGTCATTTGACCCCCAAAGGGGTCACGGCCCACAGGTTGAGAACCACTGCTTTAGATGAATCTGTTTTCATCTATGCTTTCCATCCAAAGACCACCATGAACATGCCTGTAGTTAAACAAGTTGGGTTTATTGCTCTTTGCAGCAAGAGAGAATACATACTGTGGGAAGATGTGTGTTTCACTAAGAGGGTATTGGGATTTATTATAGGTTTTGGGTTTGTGTTCACTAACTTTGGGGCTTTGCCCAGGATTGCACGCTGTTGGGAATAGAGGGAAGCCTATAATTTGGGTAAATACCTCTAATAAGATGCAAGAAATGGAATGAGGCTAAAGTTGTAATTGGTGCATATGTTAATGCATGTTGGCCAGCATAGGGGTCTGTTTGGTCATTTTTGTACTTTGACAACTCATATTTTTGTGTTCAGACATGATTGCAGAGTGCTTGTTTTGATTTTTCACAGCCGCAGAATGGCCTTGTCTGGTATTGGTGTTCTGTGGAAATTTCCACAATAAACCACTGTGTAGCTGTGTCAGCCAACTCCTAGCAACAACAGTGCCTGGCTAACAGTCCAGGCGTGTTCATGGGCTGCTCCTCCTTTCTCAACAGCTAAAGGAAAACGTGTGACACGGAGAAGAGGGCTTGCTGAGCAGTGGAAGTAGACAGACATCTCAAAGCAAATATTGCAGTGTCTGAGCACCATGCAAGAGAGCTGCTGTCCATGGGTATTTCAGTTCCACATATATGTACTTGAAATATCCGAGTCCTCTAACATTCCCTTGTTTTCATGTTCATCAAGGGACTTTTCATCTTGATTTTATCTTTTTGTGTGTCTTCATATAGAGTAACAATATTTTAGTTTAACATGGTAATCCATATATTTCTAATAATTTTAAATTTACATACTTATATATACTACTTATATATTTAAATGTATATATTAAATAAATGTGGTGGCCTTACTTTCCTCCCTTCCTCCAATATCCAGCTTCTCACTTGCCCAGTCCAAATAAAAATCGACGTTATCCTGATTTGAACTTGTCATATAATTTAAAAAAATTGTCATAAAAAACATTCAACCCAATAAAAATGTAGACATTTATGTATGTTTACTAAGCCTTGGTTTTCTCATTCATAAAAGTAGGGAGCCATAGCCCATTTGGCTCAGTGGATAGACTGTTGGCTTGCGGACTGAAGGGTCCCAGGTTCGATTCTGGTCAAGGGCATATGCCTGGGTTGCAGGCTCAATCCCCAGTAGGAGGCATGCAGGAGGCAGCCAATCAATAATTCTCTCCTCATCATTGATGTTTCTCTCTCCTTTCCTTCTAAAATCAATAAAAATATATTTTAAAAGTAGGGTAATGATTATTATATAGCAGTTAGTGACTCGTGTATAGTAAGAGCTCAATCACTATTATCAGTGATTTTTATAATTTCTGCTTCACTCTTCTTTCCCTTTGGTATTTTCTCTCATTCAGTGTTTATGATAGTATCCTCTACCTGCCTCCTGAGCTTCATACTTCACCAGCCTACTCGAGATTTCCATGAGGTTATCTCACAGGGATCTGAAATGCAGCCTGTCCCAAACCGGGCCCATTCCCTTCATTACACCCCTTGATTGACACATCTGTAAAATAAAGGAAATGATGGGTAGCTACTTCACAGGGTTGGGTAAGGATTAAATTAATACACATGAAACACTGCAGGATGCCTGGCACACAGTAAACACCCTATGTTAGCTGTTCTACCATCCTTTTCCTCTACAGCTGCACACCTTTTATTCCCTACTGATGCTACCCACAACCCGAGCCCTAAATTGGAGACCCTTTCTCTTCTGCCTCACTCCCTACATTAAATTGATAATCCGGTCTTGTGCTTTCTAGCTCTGCAATAGATCTTTCAACTCTTTGCCACCCTCCTGTGGTGTCTGGGTACTCTCCATCTTCGGCTGCAGTGGTCTCATGTGTCTTCCCACCCCTGGTCTTTCACCCTGGAGTCCATCTATCCCCTACCCATAGCCACAGGTCTCATTCTGAAATGCAAATATAGTTCTAAAAAACACATATTTACCATGTGCCAAACACTGTTTTGAGTTTTACAGTATTAACAATTTATTATACACATATTCAATGACTTCTCCCTCTTTCATACATTATTCAATAAATATTTTTTATGTTATAGGTACACATGAAAGGGATCTAAGATATAATGGAAAGTAAGAATAGGTATGCCTAGCCTGATTGCAATGCATACATTGTTTCATTATGTGTGTGTGTGTGCAGGCATGTGTGTGTCTGCCTATGGAATACACTATCTATTTGGGCCACTGGATTAATCACATGAGCGTTTCAGCTTTGATACTCTCATCTCTAAAATGGCGAAAATATCTTTTAAAGTCATTTCCCAGAATTATAGATGATTAAAGCACTCTGAAAATAAAATATTATCAATGCATATTAACATCATTAAGCATTCTTATTCATTGTATGTGCTTTTATAAAGAAAAGCTTAATAAACTCAACACATTCAAAAAAGAAAGTAACCTTTTCTGATTTAATAGTTTTGAAAATGTTTCAAAAGATTTGCCATTTAATCAGGTCACAAAGCTCTGGGGGAAGTGTCATCTTTGAGGATAAGACTAAATATGTTCTTAGAAATAAATATCACCTCTCAATTTTTTTAAAGTCAACAAGGTAGTTCTGAGGGAAAATAATTATTTCTCTTCTTTATTCCTTAACTTTAAAACTTAGTTTAATCTCATTTTCAGTAAGATTCTCATTCTGTACTTTTAAACCCAAGGTACTTTTCTGATCATAAAAAAGATAACATGTTTATACATTATTAGGAACTCAGAGGATCTTGGGGTAGAACATTTATTTCATGAAACACTCAAAAGTTTAGGTCAGTGGGAAATAATTTTAATTAAGGAATTGTACATTTTCTTCCCACATGTCTTGCTTGGTATTAGGAAATGATGTTGTGATCCATTTCACTACAATATTACAAAATATTTACAAGAAAATATTAAAAACAAACACAAAAGGCAAGATGGAGTAAAAGAAACTGTTTCCTCCCCCGAAAAATCTCTACTCCAGAGCCCACAGCACACAAGAGAATCAAAAACAAATATGCCCCAGATCACAAGTTCCAAAGGACTGGAGGGGAAGAAATGGGACGAAAGTGGTGGTATGAAAGGGAATGGACGTTTGCAGCAGAACTGCTTCAGTAACCGACCTAGCCTGAGTGAAATACCCTCTCTTGTATGCAGTGAATTCCAAACAAGGCTAAACTTTTAAGATATTCCTTCAACTGAAATTAGAAAATACCCTGACAATAAAAGTAGCTCTTTTGCCTAAGTTTCCTAAGAGCCTCTTTTCCACGAACCAATGATAGGAACAGAAGTGTGTTCGGGCATCAAAAGTTGTCACAGCAGCCCTTCCATTTCTTTCATAAAAGCTTCATATACATCATCCTTAGTTTGTACTGAGACGGGAACAGTTGGACCAGATTTGGGGGCTGCTTTGGCAAGAGGCACAGCAGAATCATCCTCTGACTTTCTCTGGGGAGCAGCAGTAGCCCCTTTATTCTCCCGACGGACCCTCAGTGCGGTGGGCACGAATCGAGTAATCTCTGCCTTGGGATTAGTGATTTGTGGCTTGGCACTGATGGTTGCTGTGGCTTTCTTCTCAATGGTGGCTGCACTGGTGTCATCCGCCTTGGGTCGCTGAATCAAATTGGGTGGAGCACTTAACACTCCTGGGTTTGGCAAGGGAGCCGGTGGGAAAAGCCCAGGTGGGGCAGGTCCGAGTGGAGGCACCAAAGGTGGGCGCATCATGCCAGGACGAGGTGGAGGGATACCTAAATGAAGGAGAAAACAGGCTGATGAACATGACAGGAATAAAATATAACTGCGACTAAGGTGTTAAAAACAGGCTGACAACTTTAAAAAAAAATGGAAAATTTACATAAAATAAGCTGAAATCATGCTTTCTATTTGAAACTTGAATATATTCTGATAGTAAGGAATTTATTATAAAACAATATTCACCTTTAGTCTGTATTTTATACTTATAGTAGTAGTGTTTTCTTCTCTTAAGAATATACTACTTTAAAATATAAAGTAAAACTGAAAACACCAACTAGTTTCAAATATGATTTTAAAATAGTTAAATTTCAAATTTGACAGTTCAAGAGTCTGTTCTAGCTGTATAGTGCAGGCAAGGTTGGGGTTTGATCTCCACACCACTCCTCTTCCCAAAAATGGTTAACTCCATGAGGGGGAAATAAGATACTGTAACTGATCACAATATGTCACCATTCCTGGAAAAGAATTGAAGTTCCACTGATGGTTCAGACATACCATCAACATTTTACCAAGAATAGCAGGTTTAATTTTCTTCAACTGCCATTTTTATGAATGAATATTAAGTACCAATTTTTGTCAAATCTAAGATGCTACGGCTTATACAAACTCATAAATATTCCATATACAACTAAGAGAGGGAAAAAAAATGTCCAAGCTGGGGGCTTAAAAGACCTTCATATTAAACTGGGACGGTCAGTGCCATAAACCAAAAATTACACTTGCCACACATAATAACATAGGAAATGCATATCTAGCACTGATACTGGGTTGAGAAAAAAAAACACCATCACCTTGTGATTTTGTACTTTAAGTTGGTACTGATGTAGAGGTATGGAATCACTACAATTATAAATGAAGAACTAAAAACTCAAATGGAGAGTTTAATCCAAAGTGGTCTCTGGCTGGAGAGTCCCTCAAGTGACAGGCAGAAGTGATGCAAATACTCTATGAAAGAACTCAAGTTCAACCCAGGATAATAGCAATTAAGATCACCATTTTAAGATACCCCTTCATTTCAGATTATTGAAATGTGAAAATATGTCCTAGAGCAAATAAAATATACAGAGTGGGGCAAACGTAGGTTCACAGTTGCTTGAATAGAAAATGATACAATAATTAATCAATAATGCTACAAGAATAAACTGTGTTTGCATATCACAACTGTAGACCTACTTTTGTCCCACCCTGTACGGTAGACAAGTGTTCACTCTGGAAATCAAAAGCTTTACCTGGAGGTGCAGGGGGAGGTAGCCTTGGTGGGGGTCCCCGAGGAGGAGGGCCAGGAGGCAGGCCTGGAGGCGGGCCTGGAGGAGGGCCAGGGGGTCGGCCTGGTGGTGGCCCTGGAGGTAAAAGTCGGGGTAAAGGCCCTCGGAGTCCTGGCATTCCAGGTGGTCTCAGGAACGGAGGAGCTCCTGAAAAGATAAAAATAAATTCATGTCAAACAAATATATATCAAGCAGTAACCATGATATAAATAAAGGTAACTCAAATGTGGTATGATTATCACTTTAACCTGAAATCAGATAACTTCAAAAACTGACTGAAATGTGTGGAAGCAGAACTCATCCAACAAATATCTGAGCACCAGAGACAGGGTACTGAATTTCTTTCGGATCACCTCTTTATTTCCCAGCACTGACCAAAAGGATACGCAATCACAGCTCTGTTGGGCTGGAAACATATGAAGGTGAGAAGAATTTTTAAATGATTCCAACATGAGCTGAAAATGGACTATAAAGTAAAGTGCTTTAATGACCTCCTGAAACTCATTAAGATAAAGACAAGGACCACTGAGAATGACAAAAGATAGGTCATTTTGCTTTGAACCATAGGAAAAAGATGAACTCAATTGAAGAAAACTTAATTGGCTGTAGAGAAGGAATAAAATCATGAAAAGCCAAGAAGTTCTATACGTTGTTTCATATTGTAAATAAACTTTTTGTATTTTTAAGCCAAAGACCTGGTTAACACTTTCGTCTCTAACTATAAAGATTACACTGACATCCAATAATCCCCAAACCAAAGGATATAAGATAATATTTACTGTGTTCTAGTACCACTGGCTACCAATTTTAAATGGGGTCAACTTGTCATATTAAAAAGTAGTATTAAATAAACTCTTGGTTAAATACTCCAGATTTTGCCTGCTAGAATCAGAACTAAAGAATGATGAAAAAGGAAGATCCTGGGAGAAAACGATGGGTATCAGGAAAACTAAGTTGCAAACAATGCTGGAAGAATAAACCAGTTG